TGCCCCCAATGTCCATGATCTCCACACTAGACAGAGGAACACGGCCATTTATGGCAGGATAGTTGCCAGCCTGGCCACCAAAGGTCCCATACAAACCCAGGAGCAGGTTTGCATGACAATCAAGTTGGTCCAGCGAGACCCCAATCCTGAGCTCTGATTTTCCCTTCCCCTGGTTTCCCCCTTCTAGTTCCCTCCTCCCAGGTTTCCCCCTCCCCTCTCCCACCCTCTCTTCTCCCCTCTCCTGCCTCCTTTCCCTAGTCTCACCAGAGTTTCATTCCCTTCCCCCCAGTTTTGCTAAATAAAGAGAGTTTGTGTTCATGAAAATACATGTATTTTATTTGACATCAGGAATGGGGGTTAGGGAGGAGTAAGTGGAAGGACGTGAGGGAGGAATGAGGCACAAGCCCCCAGTGGGGCAGACCAGGGAGGCTCTTAGCGCTCCTAAGGGTGGAAGCTCTCCCACAGAGCCTCCTGGATACTGACAGCCCTCTGATGGACCTCCCGGATGGCAGCCTGCAGAAAGTGCAGCCAGGCTCACAGCAATGCGTCCATGAGAAGCACCAAAGTGCCCAGGGGCAGCTCTGGCTCCACATTGCAGAGTGCTGTGGTGTCCTGAGTGAGGGCAACCAGAGCACTCAGGGACAAAATGCTTTGCTGTCCCTCATTGAGGTGGACAAGCAAGCAGGGAAACTTGAGAACTGGCTGTCCAGGGGGGTCCCTTTAAGCACAGACCTCGGATAGCCTGAGGCAGCAGCCCCACACAGTAAGTCCTGACCTGGTGTCCTGCTGGAATCTGTGCCGGCCAGCCTTAAATGCGATTCACAGTCCGCTCCGTGTGGATGTGCTATTTCAAAATAGCAAAATGCTATTTTGAAATAACACTGTAATGTAGACATACCCTGAGAGATTTCAGAAGAGGAATCTCTGAGCAAAGGAAGAGGAACATGTCTATGTTTAATATGACACTTTATTTTTGTTGTGGCAGGTTGGCATGGTGTGGATTGTTCAATAAACTGTCCCAGTGGCACATGGGGTCTTGGCTGTAATTTAACTTGCCAGTGCCTTAATGGAGGAGCTTGTAATGCTCTGGATGGAACCTGTACCTGTGCTCCAGGATGGAGAGGGGAAAAATGTGAACTCACTTGCCAGGTAATTAAAATTCACTCAGTGATAAGCTATGGGGTTTCTATCACTAGTGCCCTCTTCCTGCAAAATTTCCAACTGAGAGTATTTCTGCTGAGTTCAGTGGTACGTCTCAGCTGCATAAATGAATATACAGTACTTTTTTGGGGCCTTTGCATTGAAAATTTGAATCCAAATGTTTCACTGACTGTTTTAGAACTTGTTTAGAAGCTTAGTTAGAACCAAATTCTGTTCTTAGTTACAGCAATATAAAGCAGGAGTCACCTAAACTATTTCAATGCAGTTACTTCAGATTGAGCACGGGAAAGAAATAAAAATGTATCCTCCAATTAACACAAATTACTCTGAATATAATAATAATGTGTTTTTAACTAGGTTAGTTTGTCTTCCAGTATGAAAATAAAACCCAGATGAAAATCTGTCTCCTTCAATCAGATGTACATAACCTGATGTAGTATCTTGTTTCCTTCCTCTGTTTCACAGCTTTGTCTACTACTTTTAAGATTTAAGCAACCTCTTAGGCAAAGCCAGGGCAAAATATGGCCCTGGAGCCAGATCCAGCCTGACAGGTCACCATATTCAGCCCACAGACGCTGCGGGGAGTCCAAGGCAGGCTCCCCACTTGTCTCACCCCATCCACACGCCGCTCAGAAACGCAGCTGCAGAGTGGTTTTTCTTTAAAAACTGAGAGTCCAGAGGGGAAGAGAGAAAGCTTTAAGAGCTGGTCCTGCCATCAGCACAATCCCATTGGCCAGTTTCTGGTAAGAAACTGGCCAATGAGAGCTGACTGTTTCAATAACAGGCAGCCACGAAGCACAAGGGGCTCCAGAGCACATGGTTGCTGCCTGTGGGGATGTGGGGCAGGCAGCAGTTTTCCCTCTAAACTGCATGGCAGCACAGCTTCAGAGGAGATTCATCAGCCCCACCCAGTCAGAGGTTCAGGGCTCCGTGGATTAAACTGACTGGGCGGGGCTGATTAATCACCTATGAAGCTGTGCTGCCATGCCGCTTAGAGCAGTGGTTCTCAACTCGTTTCAGACCACAGACCGCTAGGCCAATCAAAACATTTTCTTGGACCACCTCCTTTTTGAGACATAATAAAAAAGAGCAGACAATGAACATTTTGGTTTGAAATTTATTTACTAACCGATTTTTGGATTCTCTTCTTACTGACAAGCTTTTCAATGTTTAAGTGATACTTGATAATGCACAATGAATATCGCTTTCCACTGCAAGCCGATTCCTCTGTTTGGACTTAATGTGCAACAAACACGAAAATCCAGTCTCTCACATATAAGTTGATACAAATGGCAAAAGAAATCTGACTGTGTGTGCTGACAGAGCTGGGTAACTCCCAGTCACGCTGGCCCAAAATTTCTCTATGGTAGACTGCTGGTACACGTCTTGAGCCGCAAAATCATTTTTCAGATCCAAGAATTCCTCCTGCAGATCCTCTGGAACACTATTAACATCTGTTGTAAATGGATTCCTGATGAAAGATAATCCATCCTTTGTCCTGTCCAACTCCGGAAAGTATTGTTGGAAACTTGTGAACACGGCATAAAACAGCCTAACGGCAGCACCTGCTCATGCTGTGTGACTTTGGACAATGTTCCTGTGGACCACCGAAAAAGTCACCATGGACCACCAGTTGAGAACCACAGTTTTAGCAGGATACAAATTGCACAGCAAGTGTTTGAATTCTGCTCTTCAGTTCCCGCACAACAAGAAACTCATCTTTGAAGTATCCCTCAACCATGTATCGTGCGAACACCAATAGCTGAGAGCACAATGCGACGTCGGTCGATTCATCCAGTTGTATGGCAAACAACGGAGACTTCTTTATTTCATCTACAACTTGTTCACTGATGTTCTGTGATATCTCATTTATCCGTCTCGATACTGTGTCATTAGAGACAGATATATCATTCAGCGTCCTTGCTGCTTCCTCGCCAAGAACAAGCCTAACCATCTCTTTTGCACGGGGGTTTTCGAAAAAACTCCGTTTAAAAAAAAAAGCAGCAGCCATGTTTGTACTAATGAAGTGTGGGATATTTAAATCCCTGCTTCGTTAGCAATTTCGATGTGGCTAATCTACATCTTTCTGTTGACAGAGAGGTGTAATCTAGACACACCCTAAGTGACCATGATTGCAAAGTTTTTCAGCTTAGACAGCTTCATTGAGTCATTCCCCAAGACTTTGAAACAAATAACGTGGCAAATCCATGCCTTCTTTTTCTTGACAAGTGAAGCCAAATTTGATGTAGTCCTCTGAATGCTTGCACTTGACATTTCTTCCTGTTGTTGCCATTATAAACAAACTACACCGCACCTGTAAAACAGCACATGTAGCACAGGACGAATGACACAGCAGCCGCTCAGCATGACAGCGGCAGCTACACTGACGCTCAGAGTCTCAGACGGAAGTTACTGGCAACACAACGCGGTTGAATCCTAGGTGACGCTATGGATGACGCAGCACGTGCTTGTGAATACGGCGTAAAACAGCCTAATGGTGGTGCCTGCTCACGCCATGTGACTTTGGACAGTGTTCCTGTGGAACACCGAAAAAGTCACCATGGACCACCAGTGGTCCATGGACCACCAGTTGAGAACCACAGGCTTAGAGGGAACACTGGCAGGAAGGGAGGCTGATTCAGGAATAGCTGCTGGCCAGTAAGACTCCTGGCCAAAGCCTGCCTCTAGCACCCCAGTCCCTCCCTTCTCCAACTCTCTGCCCCCCACTCCTGCCCCCTACTCTACATACCTAGATCCTCTGCTCCCCTCCGGTACCCATATGCCCTCCTAGATCAGCATCCCAATTCCTTGCCACAGATGAGTCCCCTCCTGCTCTAGCTCATAACCCAAATCCCTGCACCCCCTCCTGTACCCCAATTCCCTGCCCTAGGTCACAGTACAACCTCCTGCACTCCATCCCAGTGCCCCAGGTCACAACTGCCTCCTTCACCCAGACTTCCCCCATTACCCCAAACTCCCTTCTGTATCCAACCTTTAATCCAAAACCTGCACTTCCTCCATTAATATCATAGAAGAGTACAGCCCTCAACCACTTTCCAAATTCTTGGAGTGGCTTCTCATCAAAAAATATTGCCCACTCCTGTCTTAGGCCATGTCTATACTAGGAAACTATTTTGAAATTATTAAATTCGACTTAAGAACTCCCAATTTAACAAATTCAAACTAGCATGTCCTCACTATGGGGAACCATCAAAATTAGTCCAATGCAGGCTCCATTAATGTGGATGCACTACCTAGAACTTAGAGCCCCAGGAAGCACTCTGGAGAGCTGCGGGAGAACTCCCGAAGGCCAATAAGTTTGAATTTGCTGCACCAGAACATCCACACTAACATAATTTCAAAATTACTTTTTTGGAATTAGTGTTACTCCTTGTGAAAAGCAGGAGTACAGAGTTTGAATTCCATGGCCCACTGTTTTGAAATAACGGGTGTGGTAGTGTGGACACACCACTTGTAAATTCGAACTTGGGGGCGTTATTTCAGAATAAGATCCTAGTGTAGACCAGGGCTTAGGGAAGCACAAAGAAAATCATGTTAACAGAGGAAACTTTATAATCAGTGTAAAACTGAGTTTTATGCAATATCTTTGGGTGTACTATGAGTCAGACTCTAAAGACAGAATAAAAAGTAAAGCAAAGCTTCACTGTCTCATTTCTTTCAGTTTTTACTTCCTTACCTTTTACTTCCTCAATTCTATTTCCATCTCTTCTTTATTTGCTTCCGGAGATCTACAAATCTGTTTGTCTCTTTTTTTCTTTTTCTTCTGCAGACCCTTCCTCTAGTATAGTAGTTTCTCTCTACAGGTACTGAGATTTTTCACAGGAAAATGTTAATTAGGAAAATCCCCCTTTGAAATGTTCCCATTGAGAAATTTCAGTTTTCTCACATAAAATATGAGAGAGGTCTGTGAGGAACACACTTTCTCACTGTTCCCCAGTTTTTGCAGCCAGGAAAAAGCAAAAAATTGGGAGTGAAATAAACTAACTTTCTCTTTTTAAAGGAATACTTTTAATTTTATGTGTTAAGGCTTAAAAGTGAAGTGTTATTTTGTCTTTGAAAATGCATCTTTCAAAGGGGAAGTGACAGCTATTGAGGGAGGAAAACACTTTCAAAATGAAAACTTTGGATTTTTTTAAAAAGAGGAATTGTTTTTTTCACTAAATGTTTTGTTTCAGAAACACTTCAGAAATTAAAAAAATCAGAAATTTATTTCCAATGAAAACTTGTCTTCTAATTAAAAGAAAACTTTTTGTAAAGAAAACTCTCATGTGGATTTATGGATTAATTGGGTTAATTTAGTTACAGAGGAATTATCTGAATTGCACATGAACCATCCCTTCCATATCCACATCTGTGTGTTTTGCTTAGCTCCATTATTGTCATTGATATGGTAGTTGGAGAAGCTGAAGTATAACATGTCTAACTGCTCTACTTAAGGAACAATCAGGAGTTAAATTTTGGGGAGATTGTTTTGATTTTAATTAATTTTCTGCACAAATCACTGATGTTTTATTTTTTAGCACATATCTCCAATGGTTATTAAACTTGAAAGTAAACAAACCTCATTACTTTTCTTGTGTCCAATATGATCTAGAAAAAAATCTTTCCATATTTGAGACACAATTTTAGGCTTGGTCATTTCTGTTGCAGTTATCACAGGACATATCTTTTTATTACTATCATAGCTCACATTATTATTCAAAAGTGAGTGAGTTTGTAAATTACTGCTATGTCTTACTTACAAATTACCCCATTTCCAAAATATATTTGATGGTTTTCTTTCTTCACAAATCTGACTCTATGCAAAGGAAGGACTTTTCCTTAATCTCCTCTTCTTTCTTACATTAAAATGGATTATTGACATAAGTAACACATTGCTCTTTCTTGAGTCACATGCAGAGTTGTTCTGCTTTGGAACTGAAAGATTGGTCATTGAATGGCTAAATCCTGTGGAATCTATAAAAAGGAATATCAAGCAACAGCAGACCAGTTTTGATTTAGGATGCATTTCAAGTTGTAATGTTATTATAGTATGCCCATTTTTTAGCCTTGGCATTTAAATTATCCTACCACACTACCTTTTAAAACAGGGCTGTGTATTTTTCTTTTCTTGTTTTCTTTTATGCATGCGGTGCCAGCTCATAAGTGTGATTATTCTACCTATTCTGAAATATATTTCATCTTGATTCCAACTCTCTTTTCTGTAGTTGCACATTACTGCTAAACTTTTATTTCTCTGGGAGACTGAGTGGTTTTCCTTGGTGGTTTGATGGGGAGTTACCTTTAAAACCAATATACTCTCTCCAACCTAACTGAAGATAGATTCAAGTAGAACTGGAATGCCATTAGAATCTCGTGAACGTCATCTGAATTGCACTGGGGAAACTTAGGGGAGAATTTGATCTCTTATATCAAATCCATCATATACCAGCTTTGCATCAGTCCACAAAAATGCTCCAGCACTAAAAATAATCTTTGTCTTGCATCAATGTCTCATCTCCATTTGCAATCAGTAAGCATCCTTCCTGTTGTCATGCTGTATTTACTGAAATAAAGAAGAAGGGAATTTTATAAAAAGAAAGTGAGCCTGGTTTTGCTTGTTTATAAAATATTTATACGTAAAATGCAGTCCTAGTATCACTGCAAGCTTAAAGTTGTACTTCCATATGACAGTTCTGTATTCCACTGAGATCTTTATAAAAGTCTGGCACTAAGCGGTATCCTTCTTGACAGTTTTAATAGAGAACTCAAGGACAGAGTAAATATGGTGACTGAGGGTGTATCTAGACTACATGGCTTCATTTGCATCAAAATGGCCACCGCGCTGTGCCGACGATCAGCTGATCCTGCACAGCGGGGCAGTCTAGACGCACCGTGGTTGACAAGGGAAGCCTTTGTCGACTGCTCCGGTATGCCTTGTGAGAGGTTTACTGGAGCAGTCGACAAAGGCTTTCCTTGTCGACCACGGTGCGTCTAGACTGCCCCACTGTGCCAGATCAGCTGATCATCAGCACAGCGCGGCGGCCATTTTGATGTAAACAAAGCGCGAGTATTTAAATCGCCGCTTCATTTTGCTACGTCAAGTAAACTCATCTAAATGGCTCTGTCAACGGAGCCATGTAGTCTAGAGACACCCTGAATTACTCCCTCCTTCAAGGTCTGTCGAGGTCTCAGACAGACTTGAAAGCCATTAGTGGGACAGTGCAATGAAGCTGCAGTGTTACTGGTGAGTGTTCAGAAACTGAGAGAGAATTAGGGTATGTCTACACTACCAAGTTATTTAGAAATAACAGCCATTATTTCTAAATAACTTCACTAGTGTCTACACAGTCAAACCGCTATTTTGAAATTAATTCAAAATAGCGGAGTGCTTATTTCAAAATTGGTAAACCTCATTCTACTAGGAATAATGCCAATTTTGAAATTGCTCATTCGAAATAAGTGCTGTGTAGATACTTATTTCGATATAGGGGGCCTCCAGCCCTTCCCAGGGTGCCCTGGTGGCCACTCTGGCCACAACCAGGAAAACTCCTCTCCTCCCCACCCTCCCCAGAGCCCTTAAAGGGGTAGAGTCTGTTTGGCCACAGGCCCTGTGCCAGCTCCAAGCCTGCCAGCCAGGAGCCTGCATGGCACTGTCCCTGACCCAGTTGCCAGCATGAGCCAGCCCAGAGCTATCAGTCTGGGCTCTGTCAAAAGCATTTAATAAACTGCTTTTCTTATTCCTGGCAATCAAAGAACAAAACTGTAGACTGCATGATTTATTGAAAACCAGAAAGGTATTTTACCTTCATTAAGCTAATTAAAGAATGAGGAAGACTGTTGTTGCTTGAGAGAGGACAGACCCGAACTTGTTCTCCTCTAGTTCTCCTTTTTAGCTCTCGGGATTTCAGATGGTTTTGTTTTGTTTTGTTTTTCTGACAGGATGGCACATATGGAATGGACTGTGCTGAACGCTGTGACTGTAGCCATGCAGATGGCTGTCATCCAACCACTGGTTATTGCCGCTGCCTCCCTGGATGGTCAGGTAAAGTAGAGATTAGTATGGGAGGAGGGGGTAAAAAAATGGTGGCAACTTAAAGAAGGTGGGATACAATCATCCTCTTACTATGGTGAGCAGAAAAAATCCAGATTGGGAATATCTGGGATGGGAAGTATAGAAGGATAGCATGTGTTCCTTTTCCTGTGATCTATGACCTATGAGAGAAGACTGAAAGAATTGGGCTTCTTTAGTTTAGAAAAGAGAAGACTGAGGGGGGACATGATAGCTGTTTTCAAGTACCTAAAAGGATGTTACAAGGAGGAGGGAGAAAAAATTGTTCTCCTTGGCCTCTGATGATAGGACAAGGAGCATTGGGCTTAAATTGCAATAACGGAGGTTTGGTTTGGACATTAGGAAAAACTTCCTAACTGTCCGGGTGTTTAAACACTGGAATAAATTGCCTAGGGAAGTTGTGGAATCTCCATCACTGGGGATATTTAAGAGCAGGTTGGATAAACATCTATCAGGGATGATCTAAACAGAGCTTGGTCCTGCCATGAGGGCAGGGGACTAGACTTGATGACCTCTTGAGGTCCCTTCCAGTTCTAGTATTCTATGAATGTGGAGCTATCTGGGATCTGGACTCTGGGCTATGCATATACTTAGGAGTGGAAGAGGGAAGTTTTAAAATGCGGTTAGCTTCCATGCCATGGTCCCCTCAAGAGATGATCAGTAATTATGTGGATATCTAAGGTAAAACTGACAGAAGAAGCCTTAATTTCAGAGCCACACCTTGCACGGTCCCACGGTAGAATTTTTAATATTTGCCAGGCAACCGGAAGGATCATGGCTTCTGCAGAAGCTGTGTTGTCAATAAAACTGGTTGGAAAATTTTGCACAAAGTTTTTCTGATGAAAAATACACTTTAAATAACCTGAACTTTTTGTGACATTTGTGTAACATTTGCACTTGTCTTGTTTTTGTTTACATTTTTATCAAAATTGTGTTTGTTACTGAACACTTTTAGTTGCAGAAGAATATTTTCTGTAAATTAAAATGTTCACTAAGAATTTTTAACATTATTTTCTTTAAAGAAATTGATGAAAAAATGTTTTGGAAACTTGCAAAAAACAAAAAACTGAGTCCATTTTAAACACCATGAAACATAAGAGATTTAGCAATTTGTTAGACTCCTTTTTTTTCCAGCTGTAATGGCCAAACCAGCTCTAGGATACAGGCCCAAAAAGCAATGTAAAGGGGGAAGACCACTAAGCAGATGCCTCATCATCTCCAGGAAAATGTTCCTTTTCTCATGTATATATAGGATATTCAAGACTGGAAAAGTGTTCCTCCTTGGAGTGTGGGCTGGTGATTAGTTGAAACTCCACAGACACACCTGATAGATTCCTGAGTCCTCTGTACTGTGACTGCAGGTATCTTTATGGAATGATTTGGTCTGGCCCACAGTGAGAGAATTACATTATTTACCAGTAGTCTGATGCCAGTATAACAAAAAAGCTATTTGTACGTTCAAAAGGTGTTTCTATTGTGAAGCAAGAGGGTTTTGCCTTGTGAGTTTAAGTATTATAAAGTTATGCTTTTCTTACTCCCTAATCTAAAGGTTTTGATAGCTGGTTTATAGCTCCACCAAATAAGTGTTTTCCAGTAAAGGAAATTCAATGTCTTTTTTGTCTATGTACTTCTAGGTATAGCAGGTAGATCTGAGCACATCATCTGTAGCAAATCGTTTTCCTTGACAAATTATAATATATTTTTCTGCTCACAGAAAGTTTGCAGACAGACCCATTTTCTCAAAAAAAGGGGATAGCTCAGTGGTTTGAGGATTGGCTTGCTAAATCCAGGATTGTGAGTTTAATCCGTGAGGGATCGATGGGGGCAAATCTGTCAGGGATGGTGCTTGGTCTTGTCATGAGGGTAGGGGACTGGACTCAATGACCTCTCAAGGTCCCTTCCAGTTCTATGAGATAGGTATATCTCCATTAAAAAAACATAATAGCTATTTGAATTTACTTGGTTTATTTTGCAACTATGTTTTTTAACTGTATGCATTAATCACAGACATCTCACTCTAGGTATTTGATACCCTATATTTGAAATTCATGTTGCGTTGGTTCACTGTTGCAATTGGTTATAATTTGCATTATATCGTTTCTCTTCTCTGATTGATTATGTTTAATTTTTACAATCAGGAGATGCACTGAAGAAGGCAGTGAGACTTTGATTCTTGCAGAGAAGGAAGGGCACTAGCAAGAATTTGGGAATCTTATAAAAATATAAGCCTTTTCCTTTTCGGGATTCATAGATCTTTCCTGATTTATCATTCTAAGTATGTGTGATGCCAGGATGAGAGTGAGTGGGTTGGAATAAAAAACAGTATACTGTAAAATGTATTGACTGGCTGCAGAGCTTAAATTATTTTTCACTTGTTGAGTTAATTCAAAATAATTGTGGACAGAATTGTAGCTAGGAAAGGTTCAGAGAAGTCCCAGCCTTGCTTTTTTTAATTTCCTGTGTTATTAAGGATCCAGTTTGGAGTGCTCTTTTACCTTTTTGTTTCAAGCAGTGCCCTATCCAGCGTGAAATAAATCACCTTTCATGCAAGTGATCATGTGAGTGAGCTGGGAATTTATTGGCATTTATTAGCATGTGAGTATGAGTCTTCTAATATTCTCTTTCCATGAACATCAGGCAATTGAAACTCAAAAATGCAATCACTTGAATGCTCCTGGAAATTGAATGCAAAAAGGGCACACAGATGGAAAAGGCACTCTGAGCAAATACTCAGAGATTTATTTATTTATTTTGCATTATACATCTAGCTCTAGTTTTAGAGAAAAATCTGCAATGTCAGGTATTCTAAGTATATTTCTAGTGACTTCTATTTGCCTTTGATTACCTCACTTTGATCTAGTTGCAAAGCTATTCTATTTCTATAAAAAGCATCATGTTTTCTCGTACCTGCATCCCTTTCAAAACAGATGCATTTTTGCAAAAATTCTCATTTTGTGCTTGTGGTTCCTGATGGAGAGGAGGAGTGTTTGGGGTTGGTATGTGTAATCAGATGTTGTACACACACACCTAGGAAGACCAACTGAAAATGTGTCCATTATTCTCTTAATACTGAGGAAAATAGTCATAAAGGCAGACAGCATTTTATAAAAATTTAAAGGAAACTTCAAAAATATAGCATATTAGCGATAATGACTTAAGTAGAATCATGACAACATTTTTTATAATGGTCTTTCCATAAAAATATTATAAACTTGAGAATTGTCAATGGACTATTCTAAACTAGGTTGTGGCCAAGACTCTTAAACATAGCACAAGTCTCTAATCCTCTATAAAGTCAGTTACTAAAAAGAGGACAGTAACTATACATTTTTGCTTCTTTAAAAGTGAATTTGTCTTTTATACTTAGGGACAAGAAACATTTAAAAAACAAAAGCCTCACACGTGATTATGGGTGAAATTGAGTCTCCTTGATGATGTCATCTTGGCAGTATGTGTAAGAGAGACTAGTTTCAACATGTCACTGATGTCTAGACATATACTATGTTATAAACAAGATAGTTTTCTTATACTGAGTGTCTAAAAAAGCCCTCCACCCACACACCACTGGTCAGACTGACAGCCATGAGGCAGCCACAATTATTTGTGCACGTATTTATATTTAGAATGAAGAGAAAATGCTGTAGAAAGCAGATCTAAAACAGCTGTGCCACAGATTCAGATTTTAGTAATGACATTTTGATTGTCCAGGGTAAAAAAGGCTAAGGTGGTAAAGATGTTTGCCTTTGATTTCCCAAAAGTATATGGAGATCATTGAGCTTGTCTATGCTAAGATTAAAAACTACAAATTCTGTGGTTTACGGAGATATCAGCCTACTCTTGCTCCACTGAGGTCAAAGAGAAACATGGAAATGTACTGGTGGAAGGGACCCCAAGAGGTCATCAAATCCAACCGCCTGAAATGAGGCAGGACCAAGTAAACCTAGACTATCCTTGGCAGGTGTTTGTCCAAGCTGTTCTTAAAAAACCTTCTCTGATGGGGATTATATAACCTCCCTTGGAAAACTGTTATAGAGCTTTATTACCCTTACGCTACGTCTACATTGGCATGATCTTGCGCAAATACTCTTTAACACAAGAGTTCTTGCATTAAAGTATTTGCACAAGAGAGTGTCTACACTGGCATGTGCCTTTGCGCAAGAGATGTGCTTTTGCGCAAGAGCATCCATGCCAGTGTAGACAGGCAGCATGTTTTTGCGTCAAAGCGGTTGCTTTGGCGCAAGATCGCACTAATGTAGATACAGCCCACGAGTTAAAAAGGTTTTTCTAATATCTAACCTAAATCTCCATTGCTGCAGATTAAGCCTTCTTGATTTACCTGCACTAGACATAGAGAACAATTGATCACTGTCCTCTTTGTAATAACCTTTAACATATTTGAAGAGGGCTATCATCCATTTCTTTCCCCACATCAGTCTTCTTTTTTCACAAGACTTTGAGTTGGGTTGTTTTTTTAACCTTTCCTCACAGGTCAGATTTTCTAACCCTTTTCTCATTTTTGTTGCTCGTCTCTGAAATTTTCTCCAGTGGGTCTCCTGAAAAGCAATGTCCAGTATTCTACACCGTAGTTCAGCTGAGGCCTCAACACTGCTGAGGAAAGCAGGAAAATTACCTCCTGTGTTTTACATATGAAATTCCTTAATACATATTGGCTACGTCTAGACTGGCCCCCAATTCCGGAAAAGGGATGCAAAGCAGGTAAGTCAGCATAGGGAAATCCGCGGGGGATTTAAATATCCCCCGCGGATTTAAATAAACATGTCTGCCGCTTTTTTTCCGGCTTGGGGAAAAGCCGGAAAAAAAGCGGCGGACATGTTTATTTAAATCCGCGGGGGATTTAAATATCCCCCGCGGATTTAAATAAACATGTCTGCCGCTTTTTTTCCGGCTTGGGGAAAAGCCGGAAAAAAAGCGGCGGACATGTTTATTTAAATCCGCGGGGGATTTAAATATCC